ATGACGAGGAGTCTCGAAATGGTCGATAGGTAAAGATTGATATATTGGACGAAGGTATTCGGACATCGAAAAGGTTTCGGGGCGTTTCAGATATTTATCAAGGAACTGAGGGGTTACCGGAACCCCCCGGGGAAGTTATGGGCCCTAATGGGCCATAAGGGAGTATGAGTGGGCAGCCCACAGGGTGGCGCTCCCCTCCAAGGGCAGTCCAAATTGGACTAGGGGGAGGGGGCGCGGCCCCCTCTTTCCTTTCCCTCTCCCTCTCCTTCCCTCCTTCCCCCTCTTGGAATAGGAATGGGAATCCAACTAGGATTGGGAATCCTAGTTGGACTACCCCCTTGGCGAGCCCTCCTTGGCCACCGGCCTCCTCCTCCCCCTCCTTTATATACTTGGCCAGGGGCACCCCAAAGGCACATCAATTGTTCTTTAGCCATGTGCGGTGCCCCCTTTCATAGTGTACCACCTCGGTCATATTGTCGTAGTGCTTAGGCGAAGCCCTGCGCGGATCACATCACCAACACCGTCACCACGCCGTCGTGCTGACAGAACTCTCCCTCGACCCTCTACTGGATCAAGAGCTTGAGGGACGTCATCATGCTGAACGTGTGCTGAACACAGAGGTGCCGTACGTTCAGTACTTGGATCGGTTGGATCGTGAAGACGTTCGACTACATCAACCGCGTTACTAAACACTTCCGCTTTCGGTCTACGAGGGTACATAGACACACTCTCCCGTGTCGTTGCTATGCATCTCCTAGATAGATCTTGCGTGTTCATAGATTTTTTTTTGAATTACTACGTTCCCCAACAACAACAACACACTTATCATCAAAATATCGAAGAATACCAAATTCACAAGATTACTTATGACAAGACTTCTCCCATGTCCTCAAAAATAAAAGTAACTACTCACAAGTCATATTCATGTTCAAGATCAGAGGGGTATTGAATAGCATCATGGATCTGAACATTTAATCTTTCATCAAATAAACCAACTAGCATAAACTACAAGATGTAATCAACACTACTAGCAATCCATAGGTACCAATCTGAGATTTTGATACAAAGATTGAATACAACAGATGAACTAGTGTATGACATGAGATGGTGCTGGTGAAGATGTTGATGAAGATTGGTTCTCCCACAATGAGAGGATCGTTGGTGATGTCGATGGCTTCGATTTCCCCCTCCCACAGGGAAGTTTCCCCAATGAAATCGCTCCACCGGAGAGCAAAAGTGCTCCTGCCCAGGTTCCGCCTCGAGACGGTGGCGTTCCATCCCGAAAGTCCTCTCCTTATTTTATTTTTCTAGGGCAGATGGGCTTATATACCAGAATATGGGCATCGGAGGCTGGCCAGGGGCCCACAAGCCACCAGGGCGCGCCCTAGTGCCTTGTGGGCACCTGGGTGGCCCCCTGATATTTCTTTTCTCTACTGTTTTTTATTTATTCCAAAATAATTCTCCATGAAATTTCAACTCATTTGAAGATATGCGGAATAGGTATATTTGACATAGCTTTTTCAGGTCCAGAATTCCAGCTGCCGACAATCTTCCTCTTCATGTAAATCTTGCAAATTAAGAGAGAAACGACATTGGAATTGCTCCACAAAGTATTAAATTGATCAAAAATATTATAAATAATAATAGAAAAACATGATCAAAATGAACGTATCACGGTAGTTCATCCTCTCGGGGTGCCTTGACAACGCAGGAGAATGCGGACAAAGAGCGGCAGTGACAGAACAGGCGCAACGCTGCACGCCAGGTGGAGTTCGCGGACTCCAGCGCCCTGTCGCCGCAAATCCTAAGGACCCGGAGCTCGCAACGGCTTGGGTCGTCGACTAGTCGAAGATTATGGCAGAGGTGAGCAAGCTCTGTGGCCTTGATGAAGAGATGCTAAAGTACGACGGGGAGTGGTCTCTCAGCGAGACGACCGTTGCCGCCACCTCCGGCAAGTCCATCCTCCCTGCACACGCCCGTGGTGGTCGCGGCTGCATTGCGCGCTACGCGGGAGGAAGCAGAGAGAATCATGCGTGAGCGCCAAGCGGCGGCCGGGAAGCCCCGCCGCGACCCCAAACCCTTCCACCGTTGGAAGCCTGACGACGACAACTCTGATGACGGCGACGAAGGTGCCGTCTAGCCCGGGCGCACTGTCAAGTATAGGGTAGTTAATTTTTTAAGTTATAGTTGATCGGACGAAATATCGTCCGATTATATGTAAAAATTATCTAAATTTGAATGAAAATCATTCAGTTTGTTTAAATCGGCATCATTTTTTCTTTTGGTTAAATTCCTTTCAAAATGTGACTGGACGAACGTTTGCAACTAGCTTTGGATGACCGACTCCCATATCAGTATCTAGTCACCTGTCCAGACTGTTCCATAGACAGATGCAATATTCATTTTAAGGGTCTGCGTTGAAGATGTCCTTAGCATCTCATCTAACCTCCTTTACACTGAAAGAGACCTCATTGTGAAAAAGCGCATGTGTCTAAGTGGCTTACTCGTCCCATGCCTCACTTACCGGACATGACGCTGCCCAAAGGCAATTCTATGTGTTAGTTGTGCAGTCAGCTAACCCACAACTTTTGTTTTTGTTTGCAAGCCTAGTTGTATTCATATGTGCAAAAAATAGGACATTTTTAAGAAAATAGTGCACTTGAACCTAGGCCCGGCTCTGAAGGGGGGCGAGCAAGGCGGCCGCACGGGGCCCTCAAAACCGAGGGGCCCCCTCCCTGGTGTGCGGCGGCACGGAGCACCTCTATTCCTAACCGTCGGAGACGTCATTAGAAGAGCATGGAACCTGACTGTGTCTTCAGGAAGAAGGATGAAATGTTTTTCTTTTGCGATCTGGGGCCTTGGGCTTTTTCTTTCTTAGCGATTGGGTGGTTAAATTGTGGGCGATTCTTCAAAAACAAAGTGATTGTGGGCTATGTCATGTTGGCTAGCAAGCGCACCAGTACAACCCTTTTTTCTTCTATGTTTTACCTAGAAGAAAACCTTTTTTGACGATAGCACACTACTCCTTTGGTTAATTAGCGTTAGCAAAGGAATTGCCCGTAAAAAAGGTAAAGGAATTGGTGGAATTGGCGATTAGGATGGATACTTTCGTGCTTTCCATTGCAGTGGCTCTAAACCGTACCACATTAATAATAGAACCTACCAGTTGAAGAAAAATATTTACCACACTAAGAATACCTTAAAAGAAAAAAAATGAAAACCTAAACAAGCCAGGAGTGACACACGAAGCAACTCTTCCTTTCATTATTTTTAATCAATAATACTAATTTATATATTTTTACGATTTTTCTAAATCACATTTAGATGTGCTTTAAGTATTGCACATCTAAATTCTATGTCATCGATCTTATATATAGGTTTCTATAGATATTTTATTTATTTATTTATTTATTTTTCTTTTTTAGTTTGATTGAGTCACTTAGATGTGCAATACTTAGAGCACATCTAATTATGCCCTAGACAGGTTGATTGTAATAAGATGATGGTTGATAGTTCTACCAACTTTATATCTGTGATGTACATTGATAATCTACTATGGTGTTCGCATATGCTAACTATAGTTGTTATCTACTCCCTCTGTTCCATAATGTAAAGCGTTTTTCTTACTCTAGTGCATCGTCGAAAAATGTCTTACATTATGGGACGGAGGAAGTAGCTATTATACATTTTTGTCACAAAACTTTCTCTTCGTGCTATTGGTTTCACCACGTTAAAAATTTTAGTTTGTCCTTCACCATGGTGTGAGCACAATTTACACAATTTAGCTCGCTACATTGTAAAGGCAACTTGTTTGACGTCATATACAATCACCCCTGTCTGGCTGCCTATCAGTCGACGTTTGATCTCCTATGCTCCCTAGCCGGATATTCTCGATCACACCTGATCGCTCCCTCACGCGACCACAATGAATGACGAGTTGCCAATAGGAGGCCGCATCGTGCACAAAGACCACCTCAAGGACGCAATTTCAGAGATGGTATAACTCTAGTTTTGTTTGATGCCATTATCTTTAATAATAATTTTAAAATAAGGGGCCTACATTCTAATTTTGCTTTGGGACCCCAAAATCTGAGGACCAGGGCTGTTGAACCCACAACTTTTTTTTGTGGGTCAAACCCACAACTTTTTTATGCTGGCACCGCCACTGCATTGCCCCATATACTGATGTGGCAAGAACATGCATGTCACCCGTAAAATAAAAAAAGAACATGCATGTCGATCGCTCTTAACTACTTCCTTCATTCCTAAATATAAGTCTTTGTAGAGATTTTACTATAGACCACATACGGATGTATATAGATGCATTTTAGAATATATGGTTCATTCATTTTACTTCGTATGTGGTCCAATGTCTCCAAAGACTTTTATACTTAGAAACAGAGGAAGTAGTTAATTTTCGAAGATGAGCTCGTGGCTCGATGATTGGTTGTGGCGGTGGCCACCCAGCCCGCCCAAGATCGATCTCTGGGATCGATGTGGGTGTCTCATCTAGGGTACTACCTCCGTCTTGGTGAATAAGTCATTCACATAGTTCTAGGTTGACGATTTAACTATCTAAATATGTATTATATGTGACAAAAGATATATATTTAGAAACTACATTATTGTAAAAATCTAGTGATATACTTTTCATGACATATAACACATATTTAAATCCTCAAATCGATGACCTAGAACCACGCGAGTGATTTATTCACCTAGACGGAGGTAGTAGCTCACACGTCTACAAGATGACGTGTGGTGATGTATAGGTTGTAGATCTTGGTTGGTGTATAGCGGGTGTCTAGTAGTGTGTGTGCGTGTGATGTGTGTGTTGTGCGTATATGGGTCGATCGATACGGCTGGATGGATGCATGGGTGCGGCCCGGTTAGTTGCGCACCTAACACGAGTGCCCGAGGGCGACTTCCTTGGTTAGTTGCGTGCGCACGCGCGACTTGCAGGTCGCGTCTGCCCCTCATCTTCCAACGTAGTATACACAATGCCCTCTTCCCGGCCGTATATATCCGCGTGCGTACAACGTCCAGAAAACCACAGCCCAAACGACCGAGCTAGCCCTTCAAGAAACAAACCATCATACGAGACAGACGCCGGCCGCGACACAAGCGGACGATCCCCGGAGTGCGGATCGATGGCGCCGGTGAGCAACGAGACGTTCCTCCCGACGGCGGCGTGGGGGGAGGCCACGCTGCGCCCGTCCTTCGTGCGGGACGAGGACGAGCGGCCCAAGGTGGCGCACGACCGCTTCAGCGATGCGGTGCCGGTGATCTCGCTCGACGGCATCGACGGCGCGCGCCGGGCCGAGATCCGGGACCGCGTGGCGGCGGCCTGCGAGGGATGGGGCATCTTCCAGGTGGTCGACCACGGCGTCGACGCCGACCTCATCGCCGACATGACACGCCTCTCTCGCGAGTTCTTCGCGCTGCCCGCCGAGGACAAGCTCCGGTACGACATGTCCGGGGGCAAGAAGGGCGGCTTCATCGTCTCCAGCCACCTGCAGGTATACACGCATTTATTTTTTTTGTTTTGGCGGGTACACACGCACATGCATGCCATGCCAGGTAAAATGATTTAATACTATACAAAATTAAGATGAAACAGATTGCAGTCAGTCGGTTTTGAATAAAGGAAGGAAGAATGGCCTCGTCGAAGAGAAGGAAGGGACTTGCCATCATCACCCCATTATCTATCTTAGGATTCAAAGTGGACGGCAGTGGTGGGGCTTTGCCGGAGAAAAAAACGGCCATCGCTGGGGCTAGAGGGATGGCTAAGGGCGGTGCTAGAATGGCGGTGGGGGCAGTGCTAGAATGGCGGTGGGTGGATGTTGAGGGAAGGGCGAGGCGATGAGGCAGTGCTGGAGCGCCGCTGACAGGCAGTGGTGGTCTGCGGTTCGGCCGGTGGTCCGTGGGGTGGTTGGGTGAGACAGTATGTGAGGAAGAAGAGCAAGCTGCGCAAGGTTGAAAACGAAGGCTGGACGTTAGATTTTGATCCAATGGTTAAAATAGAATCGATTGAACCGTTCGAAAAAATCTGTCGACTGTCTTGTAGCCGCTTCCAACAAATTGATCCATGCATGGATGAAGAAACTCACGAGAATTTTGTGTGGCGATGCAGGGTGAGGCGGTGCAGGACTGGAGGGAGATAGTGACCTACTTCTCGTACCCGGTGAAGGCGAGGGACTACGGGCGGTGGCCGGAGAAGCCGGCGGGGTGGCGCGCGGTGGTGGAGCGATACAGCGAGCGACTCATGGGACTGTCGTGCAAGCTGCTGGGCGTGCTGTCGGAGGCGATGGGCCTGGAATCGGAGGCGCTCGCCAAGGCGTGCGTTGACATGGACCAGAAGGTGGTGGTCAACTTCTACCCGCGCTGCCCCCAGCCGGACCTCACCCTGGGCCTCAAGCGCCACACCGACCCCGGCACCATCACCCTCCTCCTGCAGGACCTCGTCGGCGGCCTTCAGGCCACCCGCGACGGCGGCAAGACCTGGATTACCGTCCAGCCCATCTCCGGCGCCTTCGTCGTCAACCTCGGCGACCACGGCCACGTCAGTACTCTCTTCATATTCTTCCGTGCCATGCATGCTAGCATCTCGATCGATCGACCACTAATTGAACATTTGTAATTTACTGTGCTTTGTGCATGCAGTTCATGAGCAACGGGAGGTTCAAGAACGCGGACCACCAGGCGGTGGTGAACGGGGAGAGCAGCCGGCTGTCGATCGCGACGTTCCAGAACCCGGCGCCGGACGCGAGGGTGTGGCCGCTGGCGGTGAGGGAGGGGGAGGAGCCCATACTGGAAGAACCCATCACCTTCGCCGAGATGTACCGCCGCAAGATGGAGCGCGACCTCGACCTCGCCAAGCGCAAGAAGCAGGCCAAGGACCAGCTGATGCAGCAGCAGCTCCAGCTCCAGCAGCAGCAGGCGGTCGCCGCCGCGCCCATGCCGGCGGCCACCAAGTCTCTCAACGAAATTCTTGCCTGACCATTCCGGCGGCGCGCGATTAAATATTTTAAATTGATTGATGCGTGGGATTTGATTCTCCTAAGTACGAGATAAATTATGCATATAATATCCGTACGTGTGTAGCAGGGAGGAGCTCGACCTGTAATAATGTCGTGCGTGGAACTGAACCGAGCTAAGTAAATAAGGAGTTATCATGAGTTTGGCGTGTGCAGAAATATAGCGTACTCATTTCGTACTGGCTTCTGGTATAACCCAGCCGTGTGGTTGGGCTACATTCTTTTCTTGGGCACATGAGTTGTTGATTTATATTTTTCTTAAGATAACGAACCGCTAAGCTGTGTGCACATGAGTTGTCCACGTACATTTGGAACGGCCAACACCTCTTTTTTTTCTTGTTCTTTTTTTGAAGCTCAATGCCCCTAGGCTCTTTATTCAACAGGCGCAAGCATGTGTGACTGAACAACCTCAGCCAGCCAGCCAGCCAGGGATTACATCAAAAGTTTCAACAGAAGTGGGAAACGGTGAGCCACTACATTAGTACGTAGAACGACTAGAAAACCGCAGCTTGAATCCCTGGAGCAAATTACTCATATCCTTCAACTCACATAGAATATATGTGATAACCAATGGACTTTTCTCTGGTGATTCCCATAGGCGCTGAATATCTTGACAGTCGGTCTCAATTACCACTTGTTGAAGTCCCATCTCTAGGGGCTATACTTATCGCATCTCAAGAGGCCAAGAGCTCTATGGACAGTAGGTCAGTAACTCCCTCGTATCGGAAACAAGCTGCTCTCAGCCAAGCCCCTTGGTCATTTCGGACAATAATACCTGCCCCTCCTGTACTCCTTGAATCAGTTGCCCCGTCTGCATTCAACTTGATCCATCCGGCCTCTGGGGCCTGCCATTTTTGCACACCATTGTTGTGAACTTCCACACTTGGCGGCAGCTCCAGAGCACGAACAATCTCCTCTATGATGATTATTGACTGTAGTGGTTGGTACTCCTTCTCCCCATGTGTATACTTGTTGCGTGAGTGCCAAATTGCCCACACCGAAGTGATCTGTTCACATCATCTCTTTTTATAAGCTGATGATCAAATATCTTGAGACTTCTTGATTTCAAAGTAAGGAGCAGCCGCCTCCCGAACCCCTTTGCATGATCACACTCTAGCAGGCTATGGGATAATGACTCGTTATCATGCCCGCACATAGGGCATAGTGATAAGGTCCTGATATGCCGTCATTTCAGCTCGCCGTAAGGCTGGTTGTAATGGGTGTATCATAACTAGTATCATGCATGCCAACTACACAATTTTGATGAGATGACATAGAATCAAATGAAGTAATGCAATAAATGAGACTACCTAAGATACTAGTCTATGATATTATGCACTACGGAGGTAGTAATATACACTAATATTATATGCATTATACTACTATACGATACTCCCCCATTACGACCGGTCTAACATGACAGAAAATCCTTTACCACACGCCACCAGAAAACTCTAATTTCTGGGAGCACATTGATCTTCCACAGTGATCTCCATGTCTCCTCCCCACAGTGATGACCCACGAGGGCTAGAGTGGTAAAATATGCTTCCAATGAAAGCAAGTCTAGCAGATGCACTATATCTACCCATCCCGCAAAATTAAAAAGCTGTCAAAAATTAAATAACCGTCCATATATAGGACCCGGAAGAAAAATCGTGCCGAGCAAGTTCCGTATATCGGCCCGACCCGTACAAATTTATGCGGCGACCTCCATATTTTGGGATGTACCCGGCAAATCTACCGTTTCCCCCTCCCTTTTGTGGTTCCCTCTATCCCTCACGTGACTTGGCGGGAGAGAAATTTCAGCTCGGGCCGACCATTCCACTGCCGCCCCTACCGCAAATGTCCGGGGGTATTTGCTTCTCCCGGCCACCCCGCGTCGTGGAGAGCTTCGGTCGTCCTCGTCTACATCTTCTCCACCAAGATTGGACCTCAGGGGTGGCTCATTTTTGCCGCGGGTGGGCAGCAGCCATCGGCGCCATGGATCCGCCAAGTAGCTTCGTGGAGTGGCTAGTTGCGGGCGGATCCAATTGCTCCGGTCACGAGTGAGCTACGCAGTTGTCTGTGCTTGCCAAACCCACGGGCAGGCGACAAGGGGAAGAAGGGGCCGATGGCGGCTGCGGATTTCTAATCGGCCAGCGGTGGGGAAGTTACTGGTGGCTTTGCTTCTGGGGAAATTGGTTCCGGTCAAAGGTAATATATAGAGCTTTCCTTCTGATTTAATTTCCGTCCAACAGGTGATCTTTGACAAAGTACAGAATTTATTTTGTATATGGATGATTGTAGTTCGTCCTTGGAGTCGGAGTCGGATGATTCTGACATAGAGGGGATGCTTTTTGACAACGATGCTGAGCACCTCCTCTTGTTGCATCTCGTCTAAGAATTTGAAGATGGTTGGCCGTCTTTGCATTCTTGGCAACCGAGCCCTCGGCCACAATATGCTCATGAAAGACTACTTTGCCGAGGTACCAAGAAGAATAAGCGTCGCACATCGACGGTTGGCCGTCTTTGCATTCTTGGCAACCGAGCCCTCGACCACAATATGCTCATGAAAGACTACTTTGCCGAGGTACCAACCTCTATGGCTCACCTCTTCCCTTGGCGTTATCAAATGCGTAGATCTATTTTTGTTCGTGTTGTTCATGATTGAGAGGAAAATTGTCGTTTATTCACTCGCGGGAGGAATGCAACCGATTTGCTTGGATTTAGTGCATACCAAAAAAATCAACGGCAATCAGAGTGATAACATATGGCCTTCCGACTGATTACACTGATGAGTATCTTCGCATTCAAAAAAATATCGTGCTCAAATGAGTATGGGTGTTTGCCAAGACCATGATCCGGGTATTTCGTCCCGAGTACCTCCGAGCTCCCAGTGAGTTGGACACTACTACTTGTAAACTACATTGCGACTTCCCCGAGGAGGAGGGTTGAAGAAGTACAGTAGAGATAAGTATTTCCCTCGATGAGAACCAAGGTTATCGAACCAATAGGAGAATCAAGAAAACTCTCGTCTTTAACACCCACACACACAAAAGTAAATACTTGCACCCAACACTGGCAAGAGGGTTGTCAATCCCCTTGAACTCGTTACTTGCAAGGATTAATTCCGATAGTGATAGATAGATAAAAAGTAAAGTAAAACAAAAAAAGTAAAATTGAAGCAAAGTATTTTGTTTTTAATAATATGGTAAAAGTAGACCCGGGGGGCATAGTTTTCACTAGAGGCTTCTAGGGTTTAGCCTCCTTGTGTTGGGGAACGTTGCAGAAAACAAAAATTTTCCTACGGTTTCACCAAGATCCATCTATGAGTTCATCTAGCAACGAGTGATCGGATTGCATCTACATACCTTTGTAGATCATGCGCGGAAGCGTTCAAAGAACGGGGATGAGGAAGTCATACTCGACGTGATCCAAATCACCGGAGATCCTAGCGCTGAACGGACGGCACCTCCGTGTTCAACACACGTACGTTCAGCGTGACGTCTCCTCCTTCTTGATCCAGTAAGGGGGGAGGAGAGGTTGATGAAGATCCAGCAGCGCGACGGCGTGGTGGTGGATGCAGGAGTCATCGCAGCAGGGCTTCGCCGTTCTACTGCGAGAGGGAGAGGTGTAGTAGGGGAGAGGGAGGCGCCAAGAGTCAAGGGTGCGGCTGCCCCTCCCTCCCCCCCTTTATATAGGCTCCCCAAGGGGGGCGCCGGCCCTAGGAGATGGGATCTCCTAGGGGGGCGGTGGCCAAGGGTGGAGTGGCCCCCAAGGCAAGTGGGGCGCCCCCCCACCCTAGGGTTTCCAACCCTAGGCGCGGGGGGTGGGCCAAGGGGGGCGCACCAGCCCACTATGGGCTGGTTCCCTTCCCCACTTCAGCCCATGGGGCCCTCCGGGATGGGTGGTCCCACCCGGTGGTCCCCCGGGACCCATCCGGTGCTCCCGGTACAATACCGGTGACCCCCGAAACTCTGCCGATGGCCGAAACTGCACTTCCTATATATAATTCTTCACCTCCGTACCATTCCGGAACTCCTCGTGACGTCCGGAATCTCATCCGGGACTCCTAACAACTTTCGGGTTACTGCATATTCATATCTCTACAACCCTAGCGTCACCGAACCTTAAGTGTGTAGACCCTACGGGTTTGAGAGACATGTAGACATGGCCGAGATGGCTCTCCGGTCAATAACCGACAGCGGGATCTGGATACCCATGTTGGCTCCCACATGCTCCTCGATGATCTCATAGGATGAACCACGATGTCGAGGATTCAAGCAACCCCGTATACAATTCCCTTTGTCAATCGGTACGTTACTTGCCCGAGATTCGATCGTCGGTATCCCAATACCTCATTCAATCTCGTTACCGGCAAGTCACTTTACTCGTACCGTAATGCATGATCCCGTGACCAGACACTTGGTCACTTTGAGCTCATTATGATGATGCATTACCGAGTGGGCCCAGAGATACCTCTCCGTCATACGTAGTGACAAATCCCAGTCTTGATCCGTGTCAACCCAACAGACACTTTCGGAGATACCCGTAGTATACCTTTATAGTCACCCAGTTACGTTGTGACGTTTGGTACACCCAAAGCACTCCTACGGTATCCGGGAGTTACACGATCTCATGGTCTAAGGAAAAGATACTTGACATTGGAAAAACTCTAGCAAACAAACTATACGATCTTGTGCTATGTTTAGGATTGGGTCTTGTCCATCACATCATTCTCCTAATGATGTGATCTCGTTATCAATGACATCCAATGTCCATAGTCAGGAAACCATGACTATCTATTGATCAACGAGCTAGTCAACTAGAGGCTTACTAGGGACATGTTGGTGTCTACATATTCACACATGTATTACGATTTCCGGATAGCACAATTATAGCATGAATAAAAGACAATTATCATGAACAAGGAAATATAATAATAATCCTTTTATTATTGCCTCTAGGGCATATTTCCAACAG